GAGCCGCTGTCATCCTGTCAGTTTCAGGATGACAGCGGCTCTGTGCGTGGCAGAGCGGGGATCGGTAAATATCATTGATATTTACCGATCCTCCGTGTGAGAAGGACAAACACCGGAGCGATCGTCTGATCACTCCAGTGTTTGTAAATAACCCGGGACACATAGTATTATGTGTCCCCAGTTATGAATGAACAGCATGTGATTTACATCACAGCCTGTTCATTCAAGATTTCACCAATGGGGAGAAGCACTCAGTACAGAGGCTCCTCCCCATTCAGAAACAGCTGATAAGTATTTGAATGAGAAAGCCTCTGTACTGAGAGCTTCCCATTCATTGAGTGCTGAGACTGTAGAAAAAGAAATTGAGGATTTGGTGTCCTCAATTTCTTTTCTATTTTACAAGGGAAATGTCAGGGGTCTGTTTGGACCGCTAATATTTCCCAAAGCCCCCCCAACAGTAAAAAAAATGAAAAAAATTATTTTAAAAAAGTGAAAACCACACACACACACACACCAAACAAAACACATTTTTATGCTATTTTGTATTCAGCCACTGGCGTGTTCTGGAGGCAGGGCGCATGACGTCATATAAAACCGCACGTGTTGGGCGCCGCCATCTTGGTGTATATCTAGGTATACACCAAGATGGTGGGGCCAATATCGGCGTGTGAGGTCACCTGACGCCACGCATGCATGGCGTCATGTAACGTCATGCTCCCTGCCTCCAAGATGGTGGTACGCATTCACAGAACACGCTGGTGGCCAACATGGCCGCCACACATTCTCCCACTGGTTTTGGTGCTGTGCAACTGACAGCATCCTCGCATCCAAGAAAGCTGCGCGTCCTAGCAACTTGGGTTGCTGCGTGTCCGACGACGTCCTAGCAACTTGGGTTGCTGCGTGTCCCAACGGCGTCGCAGCAGCCAAGGGCCTAAGAACCAGAGGGATGGGTTCGTGCAGCACCACCCTGCTTACTGCAAATTTAAATTGGTCTTATTTACAGACCACTTTCCGTAATAAATTTGTTGCGGACACTGCGACACATTAGGAAAACAAATAGCACATATTTCTGATGCATATGACTAGTAAGATACTGAAGCTTGGCCCAGTGGGAGATTCCTCCATGCAAATAGTTTAGCGTAAATGGAGGAATCTGTTGCACTTTTTCCATCTGACCACAGAAAATCTGCAGGTAATCTATTGGTGTATGGCCAGCTTTACAGTGTGCTAAGAAGCATTCACAGTCAGTAGAAATGCTTGTCCCTCTGCACAGAGTTCACTGCTTCCATACAGAGAGCAAGGGAGTGACTCTGCAGCATGCTGGCAGGAGACAGGCTTTTCTATTTGGGCTGTGGCTGCTTTAGGCTGGACACACACCTTACAACTATCGCAAGACTTTTGTCTTGCGATGGTTGTAAGGTACTTAAAAAAACGTACGATCTGCATATGTTGCATAGGCAGATCGTACTTGTGATGATCGCAAGCCACGCCCCCTGAGGGGCGGGCTTCCGATGACCGCAATGCCGAACGGGCAGTGTGCGCTTGCCGGCTGTTATCGGCCCGTGCGGCTGTTATCGTACGGACATGCCACAAACCCGCCGAACATCGTACGATGCTCGGCGGGTTTTCAAACATGTCCGTAAGTTTAAAGTCGTGCGACCTTACAGTAGTAGAGGTCGCACGGCTTCCACACACCTTACGAACATCGTACGATCGCGGGATTTCCCGATAATCGTAAGGTGTGTGGGCACCCTTACAAAGAAAACAAATTGTAACACTATGCATCGCTTCAAGCTCGCTCCCATGATGGACTACAACTTCAATACAAATTAGTGGTGTGTGTGTGTGTGTGTGTGTGTGTGTGTGTGTGTGTGTGTATATATTCTCATACATACATACATCTACTACTGAGCTCAGGGTGGAGGAGATAACCTGAACCTAGAGTCAGGAAAAGGCAAGGAGGGATGCCTGAAATGGACTGTTCATCCAGTCTTGTGATTCACACAGCTTTGCTATGATGTGCTGTCAGGAAGGTCACTTTGCTACTTTCTGGTTCATCTTCACTGCTCCCTATGTGACCTGGATGCTTATGGAGCAGAGAAGACGATGCTGGTTCATTGTCTAGTAAGCAGCCTAGTATGAGAAGTTGCAAACCTGAACCTTGAAATAGCAGTGTTACTTGTCTGCTTATGTTTTGCAGAAAAGGGTGAATGACAGAATGTTATCATTTTGCGGCTGTTAGATTTCCACATATGTAGACATTGTTGGGCTTTGCACCTTTTTTCTGCGGTCCCGATATTGAGGTAGTGTTGTCTTCTGTTATGACGCTGGGCATCATTTTAACCTGGAAGAGGAGGAGCGAAGCATCGTTGGATCAGTGAGTCTACAGAGGACAGCAGTGGAGATTGGATGAGTATTCCAGCCGGTGTCGCTTTTTGTTTTTTTAACTGGGGTCTGGAATCTTTAAAATGACACCCAAGCTGGACTTGGCCTTCAGGGTGTCATCCTCTGTATAGTGGCTGGTATAAGATCATATGCAGATATTTACATAAAAAAATACATGTAATGATGTATTAATGAATATTGTATTCTTTTCTGCTTACATTTTAGATTACCTGGATAATGGGAACAACAAGATGGCAATTCAGCAAGCTGAGAAGCTGCTGAAAAAACATAAAGACCTGCACTGTGCCAAGGTATTGCCTTTAGTGTTCTTATACGCCTTGTTCACACAAGCTTCAGCAGGTATAGGAATTGTGTACCGCAAGCTGTTGCAAAGCATTTGAAAGCTGTGAGCAAGCTTTGAACAGCTTTTAAAACACCCTTCAGTTCCAGTTTAGAGAGGTTAAGGCAGGGATGGCCAAACTACGGCCCTCCAGCTGGGGTGGAACTACGAATCCCATGAGGCTTTGCAGGATTCTCACAGCCACAGACATGACTCCCGGAGAGAGATGCTTCATGGGATTTGTAGTTCAAAATGTAATATATTGCAGCTTACTAGTCCTTGGATTGGGTTGGCTTTATTCATTTTCTTCTGTTATTTTCGGCTGGTGCTTCTGCCACTTATACACTCCTGTCCTAGGGTGTCAATGCTTTCTCACTCTAATGTATCAGGACAACATAAATGGCACAGGACTACTGGGAACTCCTCGGTTCTCTAGTATATAACATGGATGGGAGGGGGTCCTATAGAACTCAGAATATTATAACTGACAACAATGCAGCACAGGCCGAAAGCACAGGAAGTTATCAGTCGGCAGGATTACCAGGTATTTTTCACATCTATCAAATGGATATAACAAAACACCTCCACTGAGCAAGCTTGAGCACTACTAGATTGCTAGCACCTTGTTTAAAGTAACTATCAGCATTCCAATTAAAGCAGAACTCCGGGGAAAAAAAATAAAATCTTAACACTTGCAGTGGGGCCCCTGCCTCACTGCAAGGGTTGAGTGCTCATTTTTGTCTGGGTTCCAAAAAAAAAAGTTATACTCTCCTGATTTTTGAATTGGGTTGGCTCTTAGAATGGTCCCTTCCACCTCGCTCCCCTCCGGCTCAAGTCATCACTTTCTATATAGTGTATAGATGGGACATACCTTTGCTGCAGCAGAGGAGGAGCTAGCTGGAGGGAGCACTGTCACAGCATTTTTACTTTTACTTTAAGATTTGTGTTTTAATATCTCCATAATGGCTGTACTTTCTTTAAAGCTTGTCAAAGCTGCACAAAGCTTTGCAAATGCTTGCTGTATACAGTGATCTTTAAAAAGCTGAAGTCCATTTGAACAAATTCTTACGGCCACCTAGATACTTACGTTAATTTTCTCCTCACTTGTATAAATGCTGAAATGTATCGGATTAGTTTGTGCAACAAGTTTCTTTACAAACTCCTGATTTGTGAGATCCAACTTAAAGTCCACAAATGGTCATGTCTGCTGCAGAGATGCGACATCCGCAAGCGTCTTCGCTGGCGCCAACATCTTTCAGGTGCTGGATCTGGATCCAGAATGGCTGGTGGGGGGATTGATGTAACTCGTGCACAGGAGTCCATTGATCCTGACACAGAGGTGTGCCGAGAATGTGCCATTGAGCTGTGCATATGCAGTCCAATGTACATTCTAAATAGGATTGTAAACAGATGTATTATTGCAGAAGAGATATAGCATGTCTCCTGTGCAATAAAAAAGCCTGCCTGCTTGCAATTTTTTATGCTTTACCTTTTAGTTCTACCTTAAGTCCCTGTTCACTCCTAGGCGTTTTGTCGCTCTATACTATGCGCAACAAAATGTTCAAGACAAAGAATCCTATTTAATTTCTATGGCCCTAGTTCACACCTAAGTGTTTTGTCGCACGCAGAAAAATGCCTGTCGCTAGAAAAAGTACATGAGCTACTTTTCGGCAGATTAGAGCGCTTTTTGGTCCCATAGACTTCAGTGGGAAACTTTGTGCGACAAAACGTGCAGAAACGTTTGAGACGCACATTTCCATTAATTTCCCATTGGAGTCTATGGGACCAAAAAGCACTGTAATCTGCCATAAAGTATTTTGTATATGTTTTCCAGTGACACGTGTTTTTCTGTTTGTGACAAAATGCTCAGGTGTGAACAGGGGCCATAGAAGTGAATAGGATTCCTTGTCTTGAGTGTTTTGTCCCGCTTGGCTTTGAGTGACAAAACGCCTAGGTGAGAATGTGCCAGATGCATTGTAGCATTCATGCATGGGTCTCTTAAAGTGTTGTTTTACAAGCAATTTTATGAATACCTTTCAGGTATTTAAAAATAATTTTTGTTGTTACTTCCTCCTGTTTGTTTTAGTTTTTTTGGCTGTGAAAGTTCTGATATACATTTATATAGACTGTAATTGGATATTAAAACAACTGAAAATGCTGGAGGCACATTTTCAAAACCAAAGTGTGATCCATATTTTTTGCCCATTTTATTTTGCCGTCACTCGTGTATATTGTCATCTGCAGATTGCTTGGTTATAATCACAACAGTCACTTAATATGTGCAATGTGTCTCCTAGGTTCTCAAAGCAATTGGTTTACAGCGAACTGGGAAGCAAGATGAAGCGTTTGTGCTGGCCCAAGAGGTAACAGCTCTGGAGCCCACGGACGACAACTCTTTGCAGGCACTCACCATCTTGTACAGGGAAATGCACAGGCGTAAGTGTAATCTCTTCTTTCACAATGTCCAAGATAACAGGATTTAAATGGTAGAAAACGAAACAATTGGAATATCAGTGCAACGGTTTATTACCACTTCTTAACTAAGGATATTTCTTGGCTGGATTCCCTCTTCCTTCCTGCTTTGCAGATGTTCTGAAGAGTGTTTAAACTCTGGAGGAACTCAGGTTCTGACCGGGTTCAGTCCAAACCTGAACTCATCCCGAACGGGGAATTACTTGGTCTGGAAACTATGCAATACTGCTAAAGAGCTAAGCATTAGCAAAGCTGGGGAAAGTTTTATTTTTATTTTTTTATTACTCTATCATAGTTTTAATTACTTTAATGTACTTCATTTGTTTTTGTAGCGGAATTGGTGACTAAACTCTATGAGGCAGCGGTGAGAAAGGTCCCCACCAGTGAAGAGTATCACTCTCATCTCTTCATGGCTTACGCCAGAGTAGGGGAATACAAGAAAATGCAGCAGGTATAGAAATCATTGCATTCTTTTTACATCAATTATGCAGCCTAGAACATGTGCTGTGTATGTTTTCTGCATGTTCATACTGTGAATTCTTTATTCTTAGTTTATGTTCCTTAGGAGAAAAAACTTTTATTGTGCTGTTTGTTAGCTGTGGATTTATTTGATGTATGCAATGCATTAGTGGCAGTTCTGGACTGTTATGCTGATGAGTGATTCACTTACTACCTTGTGTTCTTCTACAGGCTGGAATGGCACTTTATAAAATTGTTCCAAAAAACCCCTATTATTTCTGGTCTGTGATGAGCCTGATCATGCAGGTAAGCAATCCTCATACCTTAGAATTGCCTTCACTGCATTGCAAATTTGCGGTCATTGTTAGTTTGAAAAATTGCAATGCCACTAAGGGTCCTTTTTTTTTTTTTTTTAAATTTCTTTTTATGTATACATTTTGAAAACACTGTAAATGCAGAGCGGGCATTTATAGTCACATTTTGGAAAGTCTTTTGTTAATGTTTGTCAGATTGAAAGAGCTCACATGTGTGTTTGCACAAAACATGCACAGTGAATTCTGTGACGCTGGGACTATAGCTGCAAGTAGAAAATAAGGAGAGTCTCTCCCAACGATAGTATAAATGTAGAGATTTCGGTATGCATTTTATGTGTAGTTTCTCAAACCTGTAGCCGCTCCAATAATACATAAATGTAAATGGAACCTTTAATATAGTAAAGGAAACCTGTACTGAGAAAATATATAGGCTACCAATGCTTGCCTGGCTATCTTATTATTTTTCTTCTGGCAAACTGCATGTTTGTTCCAGGTCAGTAACTCAAAGGACTGACGACAGACAAGAATGAGGAGCACAGCATTTTTCAGAGTCTCTATTGTTCTTGGTATAGGTTTCTTTTAAAGGAAAACTATGAGGTGAGTAATTTTCACTCAACCTCATAGTTGGAGCCGACGTGTGACAATGAAACTGTCACAGGTCGGCTCAATTGATCGGGAAGTGAACGAACACATACCTTCACTCGCTCAATTCTCGATCCTGTCCCTGCAGAGAGCCGTGCAGCGCTGACTGGAGGAACGAACGGGGGAAGGGGCGGGTACAGCTGGCTCTGTCTCTAGATGGGTAGAGCCAGCTGTCACTCACGCAGCTGGGTGGATCTCGACAGTAATGTTGAGATCCGTCCCGGCTGCGGTGGTCTCAGTATACCGCGAGCTGTAGCTTGCAGTATACTGAGCTTTGGGTCACGGCGGGATGCTAGTTTCTGTCCTCCTGTGACCCTGAGGAGAACTATGGGGAAAAACACTTACCCCATAGTTCTCCTTTTTAAGGATTAACCTATTTTTCGCCTGGTTCTTCAAATGTTATAAGATAAAGGGAACTCTGGACCACCTCCATAATAAACTTCTTTAATACCGCGAACGAGCACATATAGCCGATCGGCGGGCTATGGACCCGCTGATCGCCTATATGTGAAACACCCGGTACCGGGTGTTCGCATTGGACGGGTCTTTTCTGCCCGTGCGTGCCCGCTAGGGGGCGCGCGCGAGCAGAAAAAAATTGCCGTCTGGAGACGGCAACCCGCAGATGCTGCAGTGCCGTCCGTCCGTTTTTTTACTACGGGCGGACGGCAAGAGGTTAAGCAGTGTTAACACTTTTCACAGGAGCAGCTGACTACACAGGGTCACCATGAGGAGGATGTTCAGCAGTTCTGTATCAAATAAATATTATTGCATATCCATATTATACATACATATTCTCTAATCATTTTGGAGTCCTTTGAGCTTACGTGTCTATATAATTGCTTAGGTAAGTCTGTTTTTAAATTCTTTTTTTTTTTTTTCTAGTCTATTTCAGCTCGGGATGAAAAATTGTCTAAAACAATGTTTTTGCCTCTGGCTGAAAGAATGGTTGAGAAGATGGTAAAGGAAGACAAAATAGAAGCAGAGGCTGAGGTATGATAATTTTTTCTATTTATATAGGTGTATTGATCGTGAACATTGTGTTTAGTTGTTAGTTGTCACAAAGTATAGTTCATTTTATGGTTTGGCCTTTAGGTGCCAACAACTAGCAGATGAGGCTTAAAGGGAAAACAAGAATCAATAAATAGTGACATAATTCCTATACAAGCTGCTTTTATTATGCTAAACTTAAAATTGCATTTCTGTTAATCTTCTGCAACTAGAATCCCCAACTGCCAAAAAAATAAGTGTCTTGACTGCAGCCATGGCAGTCTATAGTGTGTAGTCAACATTTCCCAGATTTCTCAGACCTGCTCCTGTAATTTACTCACTACTTCTATAATTTTCCATGCTATAGACCAGTGGTTCTCAACCTGTGCATCTCAGGACCCACATTTGCCCTTGGTCATTAAGTCGTGACCCAAGTCACACCGCACTGGAAATGCATGGCATTGTTGTTCCGCTTATAGTGCAGGCGATTGAACTGTGGGCGGGAGGTGTGCATTTGGGGTACCATTCAAATGAATGGAAACGCTACACACCTCCCTCACCGGAATGCATGGTAGGTGCAATGGCGTGGTACACAGCACTAATCGCACGGGACTGTACGATTAATGCACTGTACTAATGTAAACGTGGCCCTCAAAAACACTGTCACACACACACAACCACAGACATAGGCACACTCCAAAAATGATCCACCCAGTTTACCTTCCTTACAAGAACTGGAGTGGATCCTCAGCCTCTGGTCCAGTGTGGGTCCTGTGCTGTGACTGATCTCCATTCATATATGCATTGTTTGTACAGCTCCCTTGTGTGCCCTGTAAAGGTTCGGGGAGCCAGAATGACATCACACCAGTCCAGGCACCTCTACAGGGCACGTGAGGGAGCTGTAAGCAGTGCACGTATAAATGGAGTTCCCTCACGGGTCGTACTCCCAGCTCACCCCATCTCAAGCTGACACTTGCTGCCTGGTAGCATATTTTAAATGGCTGCTCGACGCTAGGGGGAGCCTGACGAGCCTCTTGTCTAGTGCAGTGGAAGGCACACAGCGACCCACCAGTTGAGAACCACGGGTATAGACAGTCTGCTGCAGGCAGTATGACAACCCTGGCAATGTCATAGGGTTTATTGTAGGTTTCATCTTCTGTGAGGTACTTTAAGTACCTCTACAGGGATGTCAAGCATGCTTCATGTCCTCTGTGAGTGATTATATGATTATACTAAAGCCAAATCTCCCGCTTGGGTTTCATGTTAGTGGTTGTTTGTGCCATGTGTAAGAAAAGTCAATTAAAGGGTATGTAAACCCTCTGATTTTACAGTATAATAATATATCTAGCATAGTGTGCTCTGTATCATAGTTATAATTCACAGATTCATTAAACCAATTATCCTGAGATTTAAGTTAACAAGTAATTAGTACTCCTAGGGTTTCACATACCACTTGGTAACAAACTAGACTTTTGGAGCATCTTAAGAAGTGCTTATCTAGCACACTCATCTGGCAGCAGACATACATAAGCTGCTTGTATATAGGTTTACTCCTGTAAAAGAGGCTTAAACTAAATTATGTATTTTCCCCATCAGCTAGTAAGAGGGATTGATGATACCTGCATATAGATGTTAGAAGTAGAGTGTGACTGCTTAATTGCAATAAGAATCATTTATATTTGAGGCACTAATAGGTTGTCATTTTAATGTATTCCATGTAGCAATGACATTATCACTTATTTAGTCTCAGCGCTGTGATTGCTGTCTGTTGCAGGTTGAACTGTACTACATGATTTTAGAGCGTTTGGGGAAATATGAAGAGGCATTGGAAGTTATCAGGGGCAAACTTGGAGGTATTTTTCTAATGGGAGTCATTTTTTCTTTAATTTGTGGGTATGATCAAAACAAATCTTTGCACAATTGGATTTCTTGAGTTTGCGAGGTTATGGCTTTGGAGGAGTCGGAGAGATGTGCTTTCAGACATGCCTATCTTTCTGGATTACATGCAATGGGAAGCCACATAGGCTCTAATGCAACAATGAAAGGTTTAGTCGAGAACAAAGATACAATGTATTAATTCCATACACTGGAAACAACAGTTGTTTGACCATGTGACCATCCTGGAATGTTTTGTATGCAAGAAAGATGCAAAGTAACAACAAAAAATGTGGTAAATAGTTAAAACCTAAAAGAAACATCTTTGTGCTGGTCCAAAACGCTTAAAGGAGAACTATGGGGTCAGTGTTTTTCCCCATAGTTCTCCTTAGGCTAACGGGAGGACACAAACTAGCGTCCTCCCGTTACCCTAAGCTCAGTATACCGCGAGCTACAGCTCGCGGTATACTGAGACGCCGGAGCGGATCCCGACGTAGATGACGGGATCCGCACAGCTGCGTGAGTGACAGCTGGCTCTGCCTATCTAGAGGCAGATCCAGCTGTACCCGCCCCCTCCCCCTCCCCCGTCTGTTCTGCCAGTCAGCGATGGCAGATTGGAGAGGGGAATCCAGCCCTCCCCCTGTCACGGCAGGGAGCCGTGACAGGATCGAGAGGTGAGCGAACCTGGTATGTGTTCGCTCACCTCCCGATCTACTGAACCGACCTGTGACAGTCTCATTGTCACAGGTCGGCTAGAACTATGAGGTGAGTGGAAATCACTCATCTCATAGTTCTCCTTTAATCACATATACAGATAAAGGTCATAATCCCTATTTACCCTTGGGTATGTAATAAGAATTTGTTTATCCACCAAACCTCATGCTTTTAAGTGCAAGAATGCAGTCCCCTCCTCCTTTTCATTTTGGACATTTCATCAATCACTATACATCTTAAATCCGATTCTTTATGACTTTTTCTCTGTGAAGTCTTTTTGTGCAGACTCTCAGGTGGCTGTGCAGGTTTTCGTGGGGGGCTGTGCCGCTTCCATGGTGGGCTGTGTGGAGTCTCAGGTGGCTGTGCAGGTTCCATGGTGGGCTGTGCGGACTCTCGGGTGCCTGTGCAGGGGTCATTGTTGGTCTCGGTGGGTGTGGGCGGCGTGGATCAACAGGAAGGATGAGTTTTGCTGCCTGTGCAGTAAACAGTCACCACGATTCACAGGAAGGCTCCTGGGACCTTTGCTGGGGTCCCCAGCAGCCTTCCTGTGAAGTCTGGCGCCTGTTTACAGCACTGACTTCGGTTTAAAAATGTAAAGCGCTGGTATCGGTGCTTCGTATTGGAGACAAGGTGGGGGTGGGAGACTAGGGGGATGCTGCAGGAGAGGTGTGAGGGCCTGACAGGCCGGATTCGGCTCACGGGCCTTGTTGTTGACATGCGTCCTAAGGGATGTACCAATCTACACAAAACAGTGGGGGTAAAATGTAGGCATGTACCAAGAGACAAATTCATAATAAACAATACCAAAACCTGTGCTAGCACAGTCTACATATGTGTGGTTTATGTGTTGCTCTGTCCCTGTGGTCGTCCTTTTTTTTTCTTTTTTTTACACAGGGTAAACAACCCAGAGGATTGACAGTTTGCCGAGCAAAATCATAAAGAATCAGATTTGAGAGTTATGGTAATCAATAAGATGGCCAAAATTAAATAAGGAGGGGACCGCATTCTTGCTCTTAGGCCCCATTCACACCAGGGCGTTTGCAGATCAGCGCGGTTTCCGTGCTGATTTCAAAACGGAGGTTTTGAGAGTCTTTCATTGCGTTTCAGCGCTGAAACGCAATTAACGGCCAAAACCGCACTGTACAGCGCGGTTCCATTGAAAGCAGTATGGGAACCACACTGATCTTGGTCGGCGAGCAATTTGGGCAGGGAGCGGTTCGGATCGTGCTTAGCTGCGCGCTCGTATGAACGGTCCCCATAGCAACGTATGGGATCGTTCATGTCGGCGCGGCCGAACCGCCCTGGTTTGAAAGGGGCCTTAAAAAGCATGATGTGTGTTGGATCCCCCAAAAATAATTTCTTATGAGAGACTTTGGAGGACCAGCAAAAAGATGTTTCTTTGTTGCTTTGTATCTTTTTTGATAGGACTCTGCTTTCATTGTACACTGGGCATTCCAGGTTGGTCACTTGGTTGCTTTGTGACATATTTCCTCTTCTTGTCCGTTGAATGATTACATAGCTGTACACCTGTTGAATCTAACAAAGCTGTTGTTCCATGTGTATGTACATTGTATCTTTGTGCTTGAATTAAGCTCTCTTCGTTGCATGGGAGACTATGCTTCCTGAATATCCTTTCTATTGGCAATTGCTTGAGTACGCTTGAAGCTTGTTAGTAGATAAAAAATGGTTTGTCCAGATATTACTATTCATAGACAACTGTATGGCAAGATATATGAACTCAATTGCACTCATTGTACTTTTATTACTTGTTTGTTTTGATACTGTTCAGAGAAGTTGACCAGTGAACTGCAGAGCCGTGAAAACAAATGTATGGCCATGTACAAGAAGCTGAGAAAGTGGCCCGAATGTAATTCTCTCTCGAAGAGGCTGCTTTTGCAAAAGTGAGTTGTGAGCTTTTTTGTATCATCACTGCCTTCGTTTAATAGCAACTGATCGGAAATGGAAAATGGTAAAGTTGCCATTGGCAACTACCTGTCTCAGCTGTCACATGTGGAGCTGTACAGAAGATCTAGCACAATGCTGTGCTGGATTTTCTGTACTGGAGGGCAGGTTAGAGCCTGTTGCCTCCAAAGGCTTGTTATCCCTTGTGTGATATCAATAGTTATGTGAAAAAAAGAAAGTGATTAAAAAAGGTTAAAAAAAGTGATAAAGAGGTACAAAAAAATAACCCAA